TAGAAAAGGTTAGAACTGAAGTAGTCAATATTCTCGTTAAGGAAAATAAAATAAGCAGATATCTTTAAAACCTAATTTTCCATTTCATCATCTTACTTGTATGAGCTAGAGATGTGGCCATGTTTAAAGCCTTTTTTTTTTAGAGGTATAATCCCCCATTCTACCCCCTACAGGCTAAAAGTTTGTCTGTTAAGAGTTTGAGCAATGCTCTTTTTCCATCTTAGATCAAATGCTTTTCTTTCCTACTCCAGGGATTTACTATAACTAAAAGGTAAAGGTAAAGGCCCTCCCGTTGTTCATCGATTTGCTGGAGCAGGCCCAGTAACGTCTCCATTGGAGATTTTGTTGTTACTGTGTTTGGCATATCGAATACATCACGGGTGGCTTGCCAGGCTCTGCCGTGAGAGCGAGATACTCTCGGTAGCTTGCTGGGCTCTCTGAGAGGGGCGGAAGAATCGAACTCGGGTCGGCCATGTTGGCTGTGTGCAAGGCAAACGCCCTACCGCTGTGCTATAACTACAGAACTAAACAGTAAAAACTGTGACCATTGTCCAAAGAGAAGTTTTGTTTTGGCTTTGGTGTTTTTGCCCCTGTGAGTCTGTAAAATTTATCTTTGGCCACTTAAGGGGATTTTTCAAAGAAGAATAACATGTTTGGATTGGATGAACAAATCTCTGTGGTGGAAGAGGAGACTAAATACAATGGCCGAGCATAATATGCTTGTTCTACTTTCCATCTGTCTAGCAAATCCCACCTTCTATTTATCAAATTAAAGTTTTGCCAGTAGTTTGTCAGGTAAAGAAATCTGTGCTGAAGAAGGGACATGCCTTAAGTTTGGTTGAGGGGAGGCATTTGTCCATATTATTTTTGTTCATCGTGAAATGAGTCCCATTTTTTTTTCCATTTTTGAAAGCCCAGGCCACCCTAACAAATAGAGTCCAAGTATTTTGTTCTGCCCCATATTCTTTAAGTTTCAAAGAGAATAGCAAAAAAATGAAAAAAGGTGCCTTTTAACGTCTTGGGTTTACTGGTCTGCTGGCTGTTTCTGATTCACTGTGTGATCCTGCTATTTCTCTGATCCTATGTCTCTGTGCCTTTCCATACGGATGCTCCATGCTGGGCACTAAAAATGTTGCTGCCAATATGGATGCATTCCTGAGCCCATGGATTCTTCAGTATTGTGTGACAAATTTGCATAAAAAACTCAGATGCTTGCTGAAAGTAGACCAAACATGATTGCCACTCATTGCCTCTTTTGCAAACCACAACACCCAAACGGAGAGAGAGAACTAAAGGGAATGCCCTGCCACAAAGGCAGGGTGGGATGGAGGGGGAGATACTGGGATCCATGGTGGTGGGAAATGAACACTGGTGGAGGGATGGGTATTTGATCATTGTATAATTGAAACCCAAGCACAAAAAATTATAACATTCCAATTTTAGTATATGTGCTGCCGAAGCGAACACAAGCACAAAAAACTGTAAGTCTACAACTGTACCTCATGGTATTTCACTAATAAAAATTTTAAGAAAATGGAATACAGATTTAACCCACATATTATATATTTTTGTGTTGTCTGAAAAATCAAAACCAAGACACCCACAGACTGGTTTACTAAGGAAAAGACAAATGGCATGCTATATATAATAAATAGCCTAAATAAAGTGAGTACAAACAGTTGAAATTAAAGATTAGGAAAAGAGAAAAAAAAAACTCAGATGCTTAAGAAGTTAAAGTATGTCACTGCCACTGTCCTCCGGTTGTTCATCTATTTGCTCGAGCGGGCCGTACTAACGCCTCCATTGTGACAATTGTTACTGTGTTTGGCATATCGAATACATCACGGGTAGCTTGCCAGGCTTTGCCATGCGGGCGAGATACTTCGGTAGCTTGCTGGGCTCTCCGAGAGGGGCGGAGGAATCAAACTCGGGTCGGCCATGTTGGACGCTTGCAAGGCAAAAGCCCTACCTGCTGCGCTATCACTCCAGCCCAAGTTAAAGTTTTAATAGATGGCACTGTCCCTCCCCAAGGTTCAGGGCTCTCTTTTATACCGGTCTAAGAAGTCACTGTCTCTGTCTTCCATGTCAGGAGTAAAGTACAACATCCTTGACCTATCCCTGCACTGACTGTTTGCTCACCTCCAGTGTGCTGTGGCCTTACTTAGCCATGCTCTGTTCAGTGCATACACACCTGGTCTGAAATCTGCACCTGGACCCAGTCACCCACATTTCGTCATTTGGGCTTCCTGTTCTGTGCTCTCTCTTGGCCTCAAATGTGACTATAACCTAGAGGTTACCTGTCTACTTGGCTTTCCTTGGTCACCGACTATGGCCATGTGGGCACTGTTCTGCACTCTGTCTAGGAGTAGGTGGGGGGGGGCAAAGAGATGTTTATCTGGGGGCTGGCTCCTTTTATGTCCTATTATCTGCCACCACCATCCATCTCATTGCTGACTTTGACTGCATGCCTTTTTGATGCGTGCAATTTAAAATGACCAGTTTAATTCACTAGGTGATCTGGTGCCCCTCACTTCTATTCCTGACTTAAATATATATATATATATATATATATATATATATATATATATATCCCAATTAAATTTGCTATTAAAATATTAGTATGTTTTGTTTATTTTATTTAAATGAATAAATTATATTGAACTAAATTGTCACTTATGTCCTATATGTGAAGATACCCTATATGCAAGTATTTTTCTTTCTAAAGAACTGAAGTACTTAAGACAGTCACTCAGATCACAGAAAATAAAAATAAGAGATACAAAAAGCCAGGACAGACATTTTAAAGATAAACTTTCTTCCATTCAAGATCTTTAGAGAAAAGCAGAATTATGACTAGAAAGTAAAAAAAAAAAAACACACAAAAAACAAGTATTGCCCTTCTTAATTCATGCCTTAAAATCAGTAAGAAGGTTTTTTTTGTGTTTTTTTTTTCTTTTTGGGTCATACCCGGCAATGCACAGGGGTTACTCCTGGCTCTGTGCTCAGGAATTACCCTTGCGTGCTCAGGGGACCATATGGGATGCTAGGAAGAATCCGGGTTGGCCGCATCAAAGGCAAATGCCTTACCCACTGTCCTATTGCTCCAGCCCAGGAAGAACATTTTTTAAATGGAAGAATCACTCATAAAAATTAGAGTAAAAACAATTTCTAAGAATTAAAGTAAGCCCTAAACTTCACCCTAAAACCTTATCCAATTCTAACAGTAATCTAATCCTAAACATACTCTTTACCCTAAACCCCAATCCTAAAAAAAATGTAGCACAGACTCCATTGTGAATCCTAATACCCAATCCAAATTCTAAAACTAGCCCTAGTCCTAAATACTAACAATAATAAAACTCAGTACCCCCAGCCCTAAAACCCTAAGTCTTAATGCTAACATTAGCCCCATCTCAAAATTAACCCTACCCCCTACCAAAACACTATTGTCTAGTCTAAACAAAACTCTAAATATACTCATAACGCTCGAGCAAATCGATGATCAACGGGAGGGCCTTTACCTTTACCTTTACCTTATACTCATACCTATAACTTTAAATAAAATCCAAATCCAAATACGTAACTCTAACCTTCCACCCTAACTAAACCTACCATAACTCGACTCAAATCCCATTATTAATGATAATAACCCTAATCTCTTATATTCTTCTAATTATAGTTTCTAATCCTAAATCTAAACCCTGACTCTAACCCTCATGATGAATATATGCCTGTAGCACTGTAGCACTGTCCTCCCGTTGTTCATCGATTTGCTCAAGCGGGCCCAGTAACATCTCCATTGTGAGACTTGTTGTTACTGTGTTTGGCATATTGAATACATCACAGAGAGCTTGCCAGGTTTTGCCGTGCGGGCGAGATACTCTCGGTAGCTTGCCAGACTCTCCGAGCGGGGCAGAGGAATCGAACGCGGCTGGGCCGGACTGGCTGTGCACAAGGCAAATGCCCTACTGCTGTGCTATCACTCCAGACCACACTTAACATTAACACTAAATCCTTAATACCAGTCTCTCCCAACCCTGATTCCAGCCCTAAAAATATATCCTTAAAACCATAACAAATAATAAAAATAAAAGTAATAAAGTGAAATTCCAAATGTATTTTTTCCATATTTCTTTGTTACAATTTTCTAACTTTATGTAGGTACAATTTATGTGCAACATTGGTGTGAGGTGACAGGAAAATATAAGTATATTGTGGAGGAACTACCCCAAAGTTTGTAAGCACCTACACAACCTCACAAATTATCATTTGTGTTTATGCATTTATGTATGTGTGGGGGGGGCAATATTTAAGATTTATTACTTAATATTTTTACATATATAAGACAGTATTATTAACTATAGTGGCCACACTGTACATTTGATCTTTAGAACATAATCATATATTGGAAGACTACACCCTTGACCAATATCTTCCCATTTCCCCTGCTTACCAGGCTCTGACAATCATCATTCTATTCCGGTTCTATTTGTACACATAGGTTTACATGATTTGCTTTATGAATAATATGGCAGTGAGTGTAATGATGTTCATTTATATGTGTACATATATGTGTGTGTATATTGGGGGTCACATATGGCAGTGCTCAGCGTCATTACTGGCAGGTCTTAAGGGACCATATAAAGTTTTAGATTGAATCCAACCCTGATAAATAAAGATAAACCCTTGATAAATAAAGATAAACAAAAGTTTATCCAACCCTTGATAAATAAAGATAAACAAAAGTTTCACTAAATAAAGTGATCGCATGTTGCGATAGAAAGAAAACTTTATTTTAGACTAAAAGTTCTGGGCTTCATAAAGGAAAAAGACACACATATATATATATATATATATATATATATATATTTATTAGTACTGTTTTCCTATCCTCCAATTCAGTGTCTTTTTGTGTATCTTGGATTGGCAAGGATATTGTCAATAAAGGAAAAAATTATATTGGGAATAACAGAAGTTACAAAATGTTTGTCTTTTGACAGGACCTGGAAATTCCCAACATCATGACCAACAAAGAAAAAAATAATGCATTTGGACTTTGAGATCATTGCCTAAGGTAGGAAATTTTCTAGGTGTGAGGGTGTACAAATTGAGATAATTCTATCTAAGAAATTTTGTTATAAGGAGTCTACCAAAGTCTAGCACTTGTTAGAGTTGATGGTCTCAACAGGGTTGAAATGTAGAAAGGCTGAAGGACTAAGAAAAGCTTTGACAATCAAACACCATCATTGATTTTCTTTTGTAGAGTTGACATAAAAGGACTTCTTCAAAGTTAATTTCTGTTCAGATTTTATTTCACAATAAAAATAGTCACACAGACATCACTGTAAGAAGACACTGATGTCATTTCCTTTGTAGAATATCAGGAAGTAGATTGAAATGCTCTGGTTCTTCAGAGACACTGGACAAATAACAGTATCAGAAAGATTGAAAAGAGAAATGAGTAAAGATTAATTTATTAAGAGGTTGTCAACCTCCTATATAATTGGAACAGAAACAATCTAGTACCACTGCTAGCTGGGTGGCACAAGAGTTTCCTTCACAACAAACTGGCAGGTTGGAAGACAGCAAACTCATATTCTCGAAGCAATCATCTTGATTATGTTGTGGATAACTTGAGTGAAGTGGGGAGCCAGAGGGTGGTCTTGAGAAAACAGTGCTTCCACCTTTCTGTTCCATTCTTCTTTCTCACCAGGGGAAATGCCTTGCTTGGGTCAGGACTGGTAAAATCACCTTTCAGCATCTTTGTGGCATGGACTATCTTGTCCTACCAGCTCCAAAAGACAACTGTCCTTCTGTATCTGGAGTCCGCTTATGCATGGGTGACAACTGGTCCCATCTACCCAATTTCTTGGGAGCCATGGACTCAGGAGGGAGCAAGGATTTGCTTTTTTTTTTAAGGAAAAGGAAAGTCAGTCCTCACCTTGACACAGACTTTCTAGTAACATTGTTTTTCTTTGCAGAAAAGAATTTTGGGAGAAAAGAAATAGGGAAGTAAATAGTATTACAGAAAGAAATTTACTTAGAGAAATATAAGGTGAGACACAGAGAAAGCAAGTGAGAGAGACTTGTAATCTTAAACACTAGCTTTTCCAGAGTGGAAAAAAAAGCAGAGGATGGCTTTTGGGAGAACGTTTTATGTAATAATTTCTCCACGCTGTCTTGGTCTAATGTTCCCTCTAGACATAAAAGTTAATCTTGATGTTGTCACAAGGAAAGCTGGTGCTCTAGAGCCCTCTTCAATGTTTATTGTGACTTAGATACTCCTATATCTTCCTTTTTTCTAAGGGGTACGGTCTTTCTCTTCAGAAGTGCCTCAGCTTCTCCATCTGCAAAAAGCTGAGGATTTCCATCACAAACTCCTGGTATTCCTCATGCCTTTGATATACTTGAGGTCTGAGAGATTTCTTAAGTTTTATTATTTCACAGAAACTCATTACTGGGTAACCCATCAGCTTTCAATACTAACACAAGAAAAAAAAAAGAGTTGTTTTTGTGTGTATGTTTGTTTGTTTAATCCTTATCGAAAAACTGAACAGGGAAGCACAAATTTAGAATGGATCTATTCCATCTAGAGATGTGGGCATGGAATGAACAATAAAATACCCCATGGGTTCATAGGCTGAAGAACACTGTCTTACTTGAACAACTAAATAAAGGGTTAGGTTTCTTGAGGCGGTCAAGATAAGGAAGAATGATTTTAGTTTTCGAATTTTATGAGAAAGAGTAAAACAAAGACAAATTTTCTTGTGGAAAGAAATTTTTACTTTCTAATTTCTTTGTTGAGGATCCACAGAAAGAAGAGATTAAAGAAAATAGTAATAGACTTGTTGTTGTTGTTGTTGTTGTTTGGTTGGTTGGTTGGTTGGCTTTGGGGCCACACCCAGCTGTGCTCAGGGTTACTCCTGGCTCTGTTCTCAGCAGTCACTCCTGGTGAGCATGGGGAACTTGTGTGATTCCAGAGATCTAAACCAAGTTGCCTTCATGCAAGCAAGGTGGTCTATCTTGGTCTATCTCTCTGGCCTTGAGTAATTTATTTTCCAGGCATAGATTAAATACCCTTTGGTAGTGTTACATTGTGTTTAGGCTCTTTTCTTCCAGTAGTCAAATTGAAGTATGGGAAAATGTTTAATGACTGAATTAATAAGATATTTTTATATAAAAAATTAGAAAGAAAAGGGAAGGGGCAGTAAGGCTTCTATGGTTTGGGAGGGATCTCTTAGCTAGTATTATAGAGATAGGCAAAAAAAACCCTCCTTTTTATATTTTCTTAACTAAGGGGGAAGGCTGAGCACTTTTCATTGGGCTTAAAGTGTGTAGTACAGTAAGACGAGGTGGCAACAAATGGGACCTTAAGATGATTTTTGTAGTAGGGGTTCATCTAAACAATTCCTGGTTGAGTCTGTGTGTCACCTAGGGGAAAGGCCTTGATTTCTTCACGTTCTTTTCATGTTCTTATCAAGACAATTAGTTTCCCCTGAAATACTTCCTTTTTCAAGGGGATCTACTACATTTTAAGTACTTCCTCCTTTTCTCCATCTCAAAAGAGCTCAATAATTGCATTTTAAAGGGCTAAGGAGTTCATGACTTGGGGCTGTTTCAGGACCAAGGATTGGGCAATTTCTTTATATTGCTTTTGTTTTGCTATTAAAGGAAAATCTTGTGGCCAGGAAGGCCCACTTCTCTGCCTGCAACACTTGGAGAAGGGTTGTGAGGTGAAAGGGGAAGGTCACTTAGGTTAGTGATGAAAAATAATAAAGGGCCAAGGACTTTTTTCTTTTCGGGTCACACCCGGTGAGGCACAGGGGTTATTCTTGGCTTTAGCACTCAGGAATTACTCCTGGTGGTGCCCAGGGGACCATATGGGATGCTGGGAATCAAACCCGGGTCAGCCTTGTGCAAGGCAACCAAATGCTCTACCCGCTGTACTATTGCTCCAGTCCTAAAGTACCAATGATTGACCTTTAACCCTCTCTTTGGAAAAGACATTAGCAGGGTAGGTCTTCACAAGCACAGTGAAAAGAGATGCCCTTGGAGGGTTTCCTTTAGACACATCAGTGCCTCTGGGCTAGGATTTATGATATTGGGAATCTGTTTACTTCCAATTCTCAGAAAGAGCTCAGGAACTTAGCAGTGTGTCTAGAATGTGAAGGGGAAATAGCTAAAATAGAGTCGCAAGCAGCAACTGGCAAGGGGAAACTTGAATCTTCCTCTTTCAATCTCTCTCTCAAAGATGAAATCTGACTACAGTCAGAGGAGATGGGACATGGGATGGATCAGCTACTTCCTGCTTATTCTGGAGTGTCAAATGGAGTCCAGTGCAATCAAGAAGTGTGAGGTAGAGGACTATTCAGAGGACTATACAACGCCTCATTCATTTGCGTCTCTGGCTCCATTTGGTGATTGTGGGCTCCAAGGATAACATATGTGTTGCAGAGAAGAAAGAGACAGTCACTTACTCTTGAACCACCTCTGCCACTCCAGGAACAGCGGGAAAGGCTAGTACTGATCTCAAGAGCAGAGATGCGGTTGACACAGGTATCAGACACCACATGTGCTAGCCCTTGACACTTGCACACAAGCACCACATGGGCTCAGGCAGCATATGTTCATGCTTCAGCTGTCCCATATCAGGCTTTCTACCTAGGTAACATTCCATTGCCAGGGTGGTTGCCAAGAGGAATAGAGTTTGGATTACTTGATGGTCTTCTTTGAAATTCTTTGTTTTTGCTGCAATTTCTCTAGGGGGCAGAGGTGGAGGGGTTTCCAGTCTTTTCTGGGTCTGTGCTGGAGCCAGGCAAAGGTCTCATCAGGCCTTAGTTTCTGTATCCACAAGATAGATCCTGACAGACTTAGGGCTAGTTGATTTTATCACTCCCAAGGGATTTCATTACTGTTGCAGGGAGCCTTCCCTATCTATCTGCTTGCATCAATATTAATCACCATCTGTAGTTTGATGGCCTCAAGCCTAGAGGAAACAAATCTGACAAGAAGGTTATAAGGCAGATCCCGTTAGTCACATTGAGGCCTGTCAAGGGACAGAGAAAGGGAAGGACCCAATCAAGCCAAGATCAAGTATTTTTCATAAGAAGTCTGTGTCCAGAATTGGGAGATCTTCTTAGTGGATTGTGGTCTGAATTTGTCTATACTTACTAACAAAGATGCAGCATTCTTTTCCATTCATTGTACACACACATGACAGGCTGAAGTGAGTTTGTGTCTATACTGAAGGAAGGATGAGTTTAATATCTGGAGGTCAAAGGGCAATGGTGTCCTCATTATAATGGACTCATTAAAACCTTTTTTTGGTAAAAACACATGGTACTGAAACCCCAACATCAAAATAGAGGGGAGAATGCTAGAGTGCCCAGTCTTCTAGATTATCAAGTAGGCTCTAAATTCAGGTTACCAGCACAATCTAGGCCACCCTGCTGACATTCCCTACTGATAATACTCTTTTCTTTAGGGCCACATTCCTAATATGACCATACCTGCTCTCTTTTTGTCCTTATCAAGGGGATGTCTCTTTATGACTTTGAGTCTCATGCCTGGCTGTCCTTGCTGGGGCCCCTTGGAGGGGAGCAGGTTGAGTTTCCCTCCCCGCCCCGACCAGGGCTCCAGCAGCCGAAGACCTTCAGAACCAGCCACCACCATGCTGAGACCACTCTCCACACGCATGAACGTACCAGCAGAGGAACAAAGGCATGTGGGTTCCGGGGATGAGATCTCTAAGCCTGCTCGGATCAGGGCTGAGCATCCTCCACCCAGATCCTCCATATTCCAGTAGGCAGGGGTCACACCCACCAACTGGCCCCCTGGTGCCATGTAATCCCATCAACGGCCAAGACCCAGAGACTATAAAACCCAGCTCCCGGAAGCTGACATCTTATTATCTCATTCTTACTTTGGACAACCTGGCAGGCTACCGAATGTAACCTGCCCACATGGCAGAGTCTGGCAAACCTCTCCGTGGCATAACCAATATGCCAAATACCAGTAACAATGATGGGTCTCATTCTCCTAACCCTGAAAGAGCCTTGAATCTCTGGGCTAGGA